CTCATGACTGAGATGCGAGACCGGCCACTGTTGGCAAGCCCTAAAACCCCAAATCTTAGAAGCACTAGAACCCTGAAACCCTCTCTCTCTCTCTCTCTCTCTCTCTCCCTCTCTCAGGCATTCGAAACGTCAAGCCTGGCTGGAGGACGCAGATGGTCCCACGTGAAACCCTAAACCCAAAACCCAAGTCTAAGAGGCCGGCGGCAGTTGCGACCTTCGCGGTCTCCGGCGCAGTCGCCTCCCCGGCGGAGCTTTGCGGGGCTTGGGCTTTAGGTTTAGGATTGAGGGCTTTGGGGTTTCAGGTTTGGGGCTTTAGGGTTTAGGACTCACTGTAATTTTAGGGTTTGGGGTTTTTGGGTTTGGGCTCTTGGGGTGTTGCATGGTGTCTCTGGTGTTGAGAAGCGTAAGCAAAAGGCGTAAGCTTCAAACGACTAGGACCAGGATCAGGATTTCGGGACTTTAAAGAAACCAGTTTTTTAATGAAACTCTCACATGGCCCGTGTAGGAACAATGGAAGCAAAATCACACCGCTAAAGCCTCGTCAAGCTTCAGCAGCACGTCCTGAATATAGTTAGAAGAGTATGTGGGGGGAGGGCTACTTCACATCATGCTATAAGGATACAGGCACGATAAGGCGAAAACATGTGTGATTACTTCGCTCGACCGCTACTAAGCTACACCTGCAAAGCCACCAACCCTTAGCCGTAGATATCCGGAACCACTCTGCCCTAAATTTCCCAATTGCGGGCTCAAGGGCTGGGGTCTTCATTACAAGACATGCCGGTACGACGACTCATGCGTAGTGGGCCCCTAAGCCATCAACCCTCAATCCAGGCCCTGAAGCCTAAACCCTAAATCGTAAGCCCTAAGCCCTCGAGGGCCTCCGCGCTTCTAGAGCAGTTCGAGCATGAAGCGTCTTTGTTCGTGATCTCCTGACGGTGGCTCAGGGCTTCGAGGTCCCATGCAGCACTACCCCAAAACAGAAGGGCTTGGTTTAGGGTTTAGGGGGTTAGGGTTTAGGGTTTCGGGGGTTAGGGTTTAGGATTTCGGGTTTAGGGTTTGGGGTTTAGAGTTTAAGGTTTTGGGGTCTAGGGTTTAGGGGTTAGGGTTTAGGGTCACTGATCAGAATGCTGTTCAAAAGGGTCCTCAATATAAACCCACGACAGAACCCTAATGTGATCCATAAGGTCCCCATATTGAGCCCGAATCTCAGTCAGGAAACTGTGTTCTATGATGTCTGGGGTGGGAGACAACCTCTTACCCTAAACTTTAAATCTCTACACCCCTAAAATCCTGAACCTAAACCCGTAAACCCAAAAACATTACAGGCAGAATGATCCGAGCAATCTGAACCTTCGATGTCCTTCGATCCTCAATTTTATAAGCCCCAAACAGGAAACCTAATATGAGCCAATAGCATCCTGCATACCGCCATCTACGAACCCCCCCTGCCCGCTGTCGTGAAGGACAATATGCAAAGCCCTTGTTGTTATGAGCTCCGTATATATCGCTCCTGGAAAGGCAGGGATTTTGGGCTGCGGGTAGAGCTCTCGTGGGTTTACAGAGTTTACAGAGGGCTCTTCGGAATCTTGTACCTGCCACGAACAGCCTGTCTACACTACCACCCCTTTATAAGCCGTGTCGCTCTTGCACTCTGCATACCTACAATGTACTGCTCTGGCTTCACTGACATATCTGCGCGTCTGTACGTATGTATGTCTGTCTGTCTGTCCGTATGTATGTATGTATGTATGTATGTATGTATGTATGTATGTATGTATGTCTGTATGTATATATGCACATACATGCCAGTATACAGGCACAAATATAATGTAGGGGCCTTAATAATTAGAATAGGGTTTTGGGGTCCTTTGTAGTATATTTATAGTAAGGACCCCCAAAACAGGACAGGTAATTATTAAATTATTGAGGCCCGTATATTATACCCTAAACCCTAAACCCTAAACCCAAAACCCTAAACCCTGAATCCTAAACCCTAAACCCTAAACCCTAAATGCTTCACTGGCCTTCCGTTTTGGTCGGTCTTTCAGCCTCGGAACCCCTAGTTTTGGGAGAGATCAGGTGTAGGGTCTTAGGGATTAGGGCAGTTTGGGGTTTAGAGGTGTAGGGTCTCAGGGATTAGGGCAGTTTAGGGTTTAGAGGGTCAGGCAAAGAGCTTCTAGGAATTATAGGGGCTCTGAGGGAGCTCATTGCACGCGCTCTATCAAGACTTTCGCACTTGCTTCTTCCGAAGCACGAAGAGACATGTTCGGCCTTATTTGGTCTTATCAGCCGTTGACAGACTTACGCTTCTAACAGCATGGAGCGATGCGAGCCTCTGATTGCAACACCCTAAATCCCAAACCCGCTTCTCTCAGGGCCTTGATATCGGCATGTTACTGTGATCATTACTAACGGAGAGGTGGGTGGCAGCGCGGGCTCCACTTTAAGGACAGTTTCGGGCACTCATGTCCGAATTTTAAGGCGGGGTTCACTGTTTTCAGGGCCGTAGGCTTTCAGGGCTTAACACGGGACGTCATAAGTTGAGTACATTTGCCATTTCAGGACGATTTGCATCACCTTCACCAGTGGTTGGCCCAATCATAACTTGCTTGCTCAATTCCTTATCGTGTAAGTCCACACCAAGCAACTTCACCCAGAAGCGCCGGTTGAAACACAGCACTTCCAGCTGTCGCGGGCCGAAGAAACAGCCGCAGGCAAAGAGGGACATGGCTCCTACTGAGTCCTACAGCTCCTCTGAAATGATGTCTTAGTACTCAACTCCTCGGGCTTTAGCCACTAGCCCTTTCTCGCGTTCGGGGCAAGTTCATAGGCTGTTACTGCCACCGCACCGACTCCTAAGATTAGTTCTTTGTGGCTGCTTACAAGTGTGTCGAATGATACTTGTAGTGAAGATGACATCGACTATACTGCTATGATTGCTTGTCGCATGTGATCCCTTCTCTTGCCTTGACATCCACGGCTAATTCCTCCTCATTTCCGCTTTCGACAGGCACCCCACGGATGGCAACCAGGATCCGGCGCGCTACTCTGCTGGCTGCGGAAGTGGGGCGAATAGGCTCCAGCAATCCAAACCCCTGATTTGGGTTTCCGGTGTAGGGCGAACGACGTTTTCTTTCAGGTAATGCTACGGCTGATGGACAAAATTCTGCATGACCCAATATAGTATAGTACCATAAATCCCATACTTTAGGTATATAAGGTCATGCAGGATTTTGTCCATCAACAGTATGTTCCCCAGAGGGTCCACATATACTACCATTATGGAATTAGGTCCCAAAAGACCATCCTTATTATGGTTTTGGGGACCTAATTCCATAATGGCAGTATATGTGGGCCCTCTGGGTTCGGCATTCGGTGATCACGCTTTGAAAGTTAGGCATCCGCACTGGAAGGCGGAAGGCCGAAACCCTCAACCATAAGCCTTGAACATCCCCTAAAACTACTGTAGGGGCCTCAACAAATAGAATAGGGCTTTGGGGGCCCACTATACTATAACTATGATGAGGAACCTCCAAAAAATAGAGGTAATTCTTAAGGCCCTAAGGGGTCCATTATACTATAATTAGAATGAGGAACCTCCAAAACAGTATAGGTAATTCTTAAATTAACTTAGTCTCCGGTTCGGGCTCCCGAGCTTCCAAGCTTAAGCCCAAGGGTCTGGGCTTCGGGCTTTGAGTGGTTTTATTTTGCTGTATCGTTCCAGCTTTAGCGGATGATCCCTTCGGGGCTTCGGGTGTAGTTGTTGTTGGTCTTTTCGGTGGGTTTAGGGTTCTGGGCATAATCAGGGTTTAAAGCTTCGTCCGTCCAATACGGGGTGGCTTCATGATTGGAGTACGGCTGCTTTCATGGGCTCAATTTCTTGAAGGATACAACAAAGTTTCCCATCAAGGCTCGAATGCAGAGGCCTTGAAATGATCAGAACCGGGTTTCGGGTCAGAACATGCCATAATATGACTTAGGCCCCCCTAAACCCCAAACCCTAAACCCTAAACCCTAGACCCTAAACTAGCTTCGATAGTTTGGGATAATTTGAGAAGGTCTAGGATTTGCGGTTTGAAAGGATTTCGGTAATAGGGTTTAGGGTATGCATGGAGTTTACGGCTGAAGTCTAAATAAATAGAGCATTGCTTTTTTGTTTGGGGGTTTAGGATTAAGTTGAATAGTTTAAAGTTTAGGGTTTGGTGAAGATATCCTGTCAATGCGGGTTTGGCACAAACATAAGACATCAAAGCAACCCGGATCAAACGAAAGACCCTGCCAAGGTCCAAACCTGTTCAGTGGCAATGTAGACCCCGGGTGAAGAGCCCCACTCTTTCAGGGTTGTATAAGGATTCCAATACGAAGGGCCTCAGAAAGAAGGTTTGTGACTCAAGCCGAAAGGATCAGGGTCGACTCTCTGATGAACTACATACGACAGAGGAAGAACGCTACGCGGTCGTTCGGAACTTACATCAAGTAAGTGGCGGTCTACAAGCCCGAGTTTGGCGAAGAGAGAAACGGACGGAAGAGTAGTAAGAACTATATCCCAAACTCTGCGACGCTAAACCCGACACCTATAAACCTGCCAAGACTCATGCGGATCATCCCTGCTTCATGCACGGGCAGGTAACGAGAATAGGTTCCCCTGTCGGCCCGGGCTTACCGTCAAGGAGTCTGGAGTCTCTCAGCAAGCCACATACAAGCAAAGCATACCTATCCCCAACATAATCCATGACTTTTATACTGAGACAAGGAACCCGTACACAAATCAAGCATCATCCCTGCTTGATTGATGACCCTGTTTGTTTCAGAAGCCTCATGAACACCTCAATTTCAGTCTTCAACGCTTTGCCTGGTAGTGGCGGGGGCTTCTCGGCCGGCTGATGATGTGCCTTTACCTTGGGGGTTATACGGATAATTAATTCTCTAAATTAGGGTCCCTTTTAGGATCTTTTTTGTCGGGGTGCCGTCCTGTTTTCGGCGACCTTAACAAAGAACCGAATTTAGAGAACTACCCATATGGGCTTTAATCTGGGCGTTGGTTCCTCAGAATGACACGTAACGACAGCCGGGTACGTTTTGGGCAACGCTTTGATTGATTGTCTCTGTAAGAAGGATCGCCGTTATACAGGCTACAAGAATGCTTCGATACAGCTAGGCTCCCCGATAGCGTACTACTGGAAGACCTCAGACTTGTCTTGTGTACTCCCCGCCCAAGAGCCTCGAGTTTGGGGCCTGTGTTGGCTCGCTTGCTTCAAGATTTGGTTGGGGGGTGGTGTAGGGTTTAATTAGGGTTGTTGCCAATGTTTGGATGTTAAGCTTAAAAACCGTCTCAGGGCGTCTGATTCTATCTGGCCTCTTCATACAGGATTAATCGGCCCTGGCATTGGAACGAAGACTTTCCTTACACGGCCTTCGAATGCGAAAAACCTTTTTGCCACGAGGCCTTGAGACCCTGCGCTCCAAACCTGAAGAGCACCAAGGAACGTCAACGTAACATGCTGCCCCAACCTTGAGCAGTGAATTCAGTTAAATACAAGATATCAAAAATATTCCTTGCTTCTCTAGCGAATACTATTACTAAATTACTCGAATGTTGAATTAGCTTAGTTCACGATATCTCTAAGTCAGCCACAGAAATGACACAAACAGGCGCCAACAGCTCTAGACCCTAAACTCCCCTAAATCCCAAACCTACGCCGGAAATAATCGGATGCTGACTATCCGGATCATTGAGTAGTCACCTCAAGCCCTAAGCCCTCAAAGAGTAAATCCTAGACCCCGCAGACCCTGGAGCACTAAACTCGAAAGCGCAAGGTAACAATAAACCCGAAACCAACATGGGTGTCTGAATAAGGTTCGGAGGTACATCATACAATCATGGTATTCAGGAACTTGAAGGACAAGTATGGCTACTTATTCAGCCCTCAGTACTACAACACCCTACACCCTAATCCCCTCCCCAAACTCTAAGGCACCGGCCCCATGCTGTGCAACAGAAGTTCCAGCATCGCTCATTAAGTCGTCCTTGTGGGTTAGGGTTTAGGGTTTAGGGTTAGGGCTTAGGGCACGAAGTCGTTTGGGGCTCTAGCGGCTTAGGGTTTTGGGTTTGGGGTTCCGGCGGGCCTCGGGCTTGAAGGTATTTTGGGGATTGCTTTGGGGCATGCCCAGACCCTGATTTGCGGCCCTTCTTTGGGGTGACTATCTGTGTGTACAAGATCCCACATAAGAAACTAAAGTAACCAACACAAGGTAGGTGCAACCAAGGGTCTAGGTCGAGGTACTCATGGGGTTCAAGGCTTCAGGTTTTGGTCCTGCGGTTTATATAAGTGTAGGTCTGGTTGGGGTAACCCTCCGTGTAGAAGTTCAAGGGCCTAAGAACCCTAAACCCTAAACCAGTTTTTTGAACCCAGACTCTGCCAAAACCCTAAACCCTAAACCCTAAACCAGTTTTTGTTGAACCCAGACTCTGCCAAAACCCTAAACCCTAAACCCCAAAGGGCCCTTAAAATAAAACTTCTCGGCTGCAAGCAAAGGCGCTACCCGCAGCGAGCTGGCATCTGGCAAGCTCTGGATCATGCCTCCGAAAATGTATCCTTGGCTCCACGGTTAAGGTTTAGGGGTTTAGGGTTTAGGGTTTAGGGTTTAGGGTTTAGGGTTCAGGGTTTAGGGTTTAGGGTTTTGGGTTTAGGGTGCTGGGTTACCCTAGCCTAAAGAGCCTCCAACACTCCAAAGGTTA